CTGGGCCCGGGGCGAGTGCGCTCCGGCCCCGCAGGGGCGTCGGGTCAGCCAGGCCGCCCGAGCAGCAGCCCCGACAGTCTCCGGAGAAGTTGCCGAGGAAGAAGCACGCATACTAAAATGGGAGGTTTCAAACCATAAACGTGGGCTGTTTTTTCTCAGGAGATGCTGAGTGAGGAAGGGAAAGCGGGGGAAACACTGCAGTCTGGAAGCATCTGAAAGTCCAGGACAAGTTCTTTCCTCTAACTTTAGCCTTGCTCTGTGTCCTTTTACAGCTTTTTCAGTACTGCTTTTGTTTTCTTCCAAAAAGCTGAGTAATTTTGCTTGGTTTGTGTCTTCCTATCAACCTTGCTTGTGATCGCTGTTTTCTGTTGATTGAGAGTTCATCCTCCTTCCTTTCTGGAATCGTTTCCTCTTCCCTGTCTCTCTCTACACCATTGTTACAATTACCGTATTTAAAACACCAAATGCTTTTTAGTGATGTGATGTGTCATCTTCTTAGAGAAGGGGTGTTCTCAGTTGATCAGTGGAGACGAGCTATTTGGCTTATGGGTGGGATGAGTTTCCATTTATGTAGAGCAAGGAATAACCTGATGGAGAAGAGAGGTAACATGGGTGAATAGGATATAATTTGTCAATATTGCTTTGTGGTGCAGCCTGAGACTCTTCATCCAACAGGCTGTTTGCTTCTTACAAAATGATACGTCAACAATAAATATTGCAGAATATAGTCCTTTTTTGTCTCATGCTCCTTCAGTCCTCTAGAATTGCCTTGACCTTTACTATGTGTTGGCTTAAAATTCAGCCCACTGGTTTTTGAAGGAGATGCCAGCTGAGGTGAGAGTCTTGCTCATAGTGGACGGCTTTACAAACCACATCATCTGGCTGAGGCATTTTGGTTTTTGTTTTGGGGTTTGTTTGTTTTTTTAATACTGGTCTCAGCAGAGAAGTTGAAATGTGAATGTTCAGGAGGCACTGATAACTGATACAGTGTTTTGAGTGAGTGTTAGAGATATAGTCAGAAATACAATGAGCCTTACTAAATGTCAAAGTTTATTAGTAATAACATTAGAAACTGAAAAGAAAGTATGGAAGAAACTATCTGCATAATCGCATGATCCTGTGACTTCATAGTTATCTTCGAAGTTATGTATGAAGTAGTATCGTATTACTATTGTCTTCTCTGGCCTTCTTCTCCTCTTTCCTTCCGGTTGCTTATGACCTTCATTTGTTGTATAAAATGCGTATTTTTTTACCTGGAATTTTATTCTGGCTCATGAGTGTCTGTCATGGAATGATTGTGTTCCAGTTACAGAATCTGTGTTAACTTTAAGACAGACTTAGATTTCAGAGTTTTAAATTGTTTTGTTGAGAACTTGAGGGGGGAAAAAACCCAAACCACCTCATTTTTTAAAACAGCCTATAGCATGTTTGTTCTGGAGCTCAAAGACCTGGTAAATCTGGAGCCTTTGAATTTATAGGCATTCTTTACAGTAAAAACCTGCTTATTTTCTGTGGGTAGGTTAGCTGTTGAGGTACATAAATGCTGTGTTTCCTTCCAGAATGTAAACATTGTATTGATCTGATTTTCTTTTGGTCAATGTTACCTAAATTGCTGTAAGACTTCCCTAATCTGATGGTGAAAAAGAAACGAGATACGGTACTTGAGTATCATGAAGTTGTCTTAACAATAATATCAAGTAATCACCTGGTTGTAAGCCCCACTAGGGCTGATGTGGAAAAGTATGGCATTCATTTTTGAGTTTTGTTTAATGCTTTATTGAGATAGTTTTCTTGAAGTAGATAGTTCTGGACTGCTGCAGCAGGAAATTTTCTCTTGTTTTTATTTTCAGTGAAAATACTGGAGTTGGTTCAAGAAAATGTATTTGAACTGCTAAAACTGATCTTATATATAAATTATTTCTCCCTGAGACAACTACGTCAGAAATAAGCATTTAGATGTTGGACTGCCATCTGCCTAATTCACTTATCTTTGGAGGGCTTCTTCCTTCTCAACTTAAGTGGAAAGATGGGGAAAAAACAATTTTGTTAAACACAGGAAAGAGGGTCAATATCTGTTCAAGCTGTTCTTCATGTGAAAAGTCAGTGAAAAACTTGAGTGCTGTGCTGAACGTTTTTAAAGCTAGCTGTGTCTATGTACTACTACTTGTTCATAGTGCTTAAGAACCAACATTGGTGGGGGAGAAGGATCTTACAGGTCTATCTGTGTAGTGTGGTGTATTGACGATTGAGTTGACACAGACCAGGCTACCACAAGCAGTCCATCGATGGCATCAGAGTACAGTGCAAACTTACTCTTCTCCCCCACCATGATATGAATTTATGATAAGTCCTTGAGCAGCTGTGACAAACTGCTTCTAGTAGCTCAGACTGTTTTAAAAGTAATTTCTTTCTTTTTATGTGTCATCTTCAGCTTTGGTCAAATCTACAGTCCAATTATGCTTTTTCATTTACTGAATTTATTTAGGTTCTTGGTGCAAGTTGGGGAGACTATGTATGTGCAGTTAGCTGAAGTTGGTGGTCATCAGCTCGAGCAGCAAAGCACCTGACTCCTTTTTAATGGATTGAAAAAAAAAAAAAGCCTGGTTTGACCCTCAGTTTTTGAAGGTGTTTGTAATCTATGGATTACAAACATCGTAAGAAAAAAAAAATCAGTGATTCTTCCCTGCTGCTTTCTGCTCTTCTAGTTTCTGGTCATCTGCACTTCAAGGACTTCTAGAGCTAGAAGTTGGATCCTTCTAGTTTATTTCTTGTTGTCTTTGGCTGTCGAGTGTAGGGTGAAGGGTGGCAGGAGGAGACACAGGGCAAGAGACCTGTGTCCAGTATCAAAGATATGAACATGCAGTTTATTTAAACAGGAACAAAGCAATGTTTTCTGTTCTCAGTTCCTCTTCTAATACTCCTGAGCATTCTGTTATCAGAATGAAAAAGTCTAATGAGCACTGAGCTTATGGTTTTATCAGGCTGTCTACAGTGACCACTCCTGAGTGGCATGAGCTAATTTGTGTAACCACAATAGTTTTCACTAAGAAAAAGCAGATACTGTAAGTTTGTTACTTTGTATTTAATGACATTTAGCAACAAAATGTCAACTGGAGATCAAGCGGTATAGATCCCTTTCTGAATTCTTTAATCAACTCATACCTAATTCCCTGGATAGAAAAGTATCTTCTGCACATTTTGTCATCTTATTATTCACAACCTTTTCCAGATCTTTCATGAAGATGAGCAGCACAGATCTCAACACTGATTCCTGTGGGATTCCACTGGTAACTTTCCTTATTGTGAAAAATGGCCATTTATTTTTATCCTTTTGTTTCCTCTCTTTTAACCAATTGTTAATCCTCAAGAGTCCCTTCCTTTTTATCCTTGACAATTTAGTTTCTTTGAGTGTTTATTTAGGCCTGTTGGAAACTTTGTAGAACAAATTCCATACACTCTGCCTGTAAGGGAAGCACCGTAGCAAGAGCTTATGGAAACCTTCTAAGAATTCTGCTACATTTGTGAGATTCATTTTTTTTCTGCAAAAAAACATTTTCCTCATTATGTTATATATATCTATGTATCTGCTAATTGCTTTTATTATTGCCTTCATTTTGCCTAATACTGAAGTAAGATTTACTGGTATGTAGCTTCTCTGAAATCTCTCGCCTATTGGGATCTCTGTTTGCCACCTTTGATTTGTCATTATTCACACACCTTTTCATACAAGAGCTGATTTATGTTGCTGCATTGAAGAGTTAACCATTTGTTTCATGGGGTTGCTTTAGAAGTCAAGTAAAGGACACCTGGTCCTGTCCAAACTGATGATACAAGAAAAAAAAAAGAAGGCAGGAAAGCACCATAAAATACAAGTTTTGCTACTTTCTGTTATGAAAAAAATGCACAAAAAAGTGGAAATAATTTGGGCTACTAACCACTATCTTCAAAACCATCCACTGTGTTAGAGGGGTTGGAGGCAGCATAATTTTATTGTGTGGGGTTGGTTTTTTTTTTTAGTAAGTTTTGGAGGGTCTTTCAAGAACAGATCACCAAATTTTCCAACAGATGCAAGTTTGGGGAAATACCTGCTTTTAGAAGTTCATTTGCTGTAACAAAGACTATCACTAAACTGTTCATGTAATTTTAATATATGGATTAATGTGTGGTTTTAATATGTGGAATTTCCTTGATTCAGTTTAGTTCTCCTTTCCCATTCTCGATGACACTAAGAGTGTTAAATTGCTTTTAGCAGAGGTGACCTGTTTTCACACTGAGCCTCTATATAAAAAGAAAAGAGAAATGCTCATGTAATTTCTGGGAATAATGATTAAGGCAAAGAATGCTTATTAATGAGTTAGAGCAAAATACCGTATCTGTTGGGTTTGGGGTTTTTTTCCCTTCCCAAGAAAAAACTTTAAATCAAGAAAGTACAGGGCTATAGTTGAAACTAAACTTTTGCATATGTGTGTATATATATATTTATTACAATAATCATGGTATGTGAAAGACTATAGCTTCTTAAAGTGAACTGCTTACTCTTTTTAGATAGCTTATTTGGGACTTTAACACTGTTGCATCATGATATTGCTACAGGGCATGCATTCATCAGTGTATCTATATGCATTTATCTATTTAGAGCACATTAATCCTACGTGTTTTCCCAAACTATAATGTACCATTTGGTATGTGACCCAATCAATTACTGATTATATATGCCGCCTTGTTGCTGAATTCATCTTAATGTGTGGAGATGATGAGTCATTTTTACTGAGAAGACATTTCGCTTTTTTCTGGGTTCTGATGGATGTCTATTGAGTGACTGCTCTTTTGCAGGTGAAGTGGATGATGTACTGGATTGTGTTTGCCTTTTTCACCACTGCAGAAACACTCACAGACATTGTTCTTTCTTGGTGAGTTCCTTGGTGGCATGGGGTTTTTTGTTGTTTTTTTTTTTTTTTCTTCTTTTTAAAAGAAGAGAGGACTAGTGTTAGGATGCTAGGAATAAACTCTCTCTCCTTTAGGAGTTTTCAATCCCTATGAAGAGTCTGCAGGTTTGTAGATATTGTGGGTAGCAGCTGCAGTCTTAGCTGTCTCATCTCCGGTACTTGCAAACAGTTAGGATAAATACACAGTATCCATTCATAAAATAAAATATTTTTGAGAAGCTGTTAATGTGAACTGGTAAAGTTTGAGAAATGGTGGTCTAAAAGACAATTTAAAAAAAAAGATGGTAGAAGGAAGACAGATGCATGTCTGTGCTCTGAGTGGCGTTTTACATGATGAAATTCTCTTCCACTAGTGGGGGTGGGGTGGAATAGAGTCAGAGGAAGCAGGTTCGTAATGCTCTCAGTACTGTGTGTCATGCTTGGCAACATGGAGGCCTCCAAAAATGACAAATCATTGTTACATGTCTTCACCTGAACCTTTGGAACAGGATATCTTCAGTTTCTTCATTGCTTTAGTGTTTGAGCTTTGCATAGATCTCTGAAAGAATACTAGTCAAGAGTTGTATCTTTTAAAGAAACACGAAATGGCTACACTTGCCTTACAAAAGAGCTCAGCAGTTTTGCCCCTTCCTGCATAAACTTTGAAAAGCAGACAAAGATCTAAAAAGTACAAGAGCTTTGGCTTGTTCACATACTTAAAATGAACCACTGAAAACAGAAGTCTCTTACTACTAATAGAGACAGCAGAAAGTTTGCACTCACTTGTTTCAATCTCTGCTACTGTATCTTCCCAGAGACTTTATTGGGTAAGGGTTAGAGATGAAAGACTTACATGCTGCCTGCTTTTTTTCATTTACACTCATCCTCCTTTTGTGTCTTATCTGAGGAGTACCTACTGGAAGTTTCAGAAACTTCCAGTTTCTGAAGTTCAGCCTTAGCAGGAACTTGAGATTTATTGAGATACGTAGTTGAAAACTTTGGAAAATGAGAGGGAAACTAATGTAATATTAACATCCAGTGGATACTCTCTGAATAAACTTAAGAATGATGAGAGTAGCTATCAGATTGTAATTTGGTGTGTTTGCAGGGCTGAGAGATGCCCTGTTTATGGAGTTTTCATGGCTATGGATGAAAGACTAAATGAGACTCGAAGAAGGTATGTCCTAGGATTCCAAAGAGGGTTCTGCTATTCTGACCTGATACATCAATTCTTTTGTTTCTGAGCCTTTATCTTGCCTTTGCTCTTTCTGCCTATGCTGCTCTCTACCAGTTATCTCCATCTGTCTCTGTGTTGATCTTGATTCCAGTTCTCCATCTTTCTCTCTCTCTCTCTTTTTTTTCCCCTCCCCCTTCCCTCTTTCTCTCAGGTTTCCCTTTTATTTCGAGCTGAAAATTGCGTTTGTGATTTGGCTGCTCTCCCCTTACACCAAGGGCTCCAGTGTCCTCTACAGGAAGTTTGTGCACCCAACGCTCTCCAATAAGGAGAAGGTACTCGCTTGTTATTAGAAGATACTGACCTGTCTGGGAACTGACTGACTTCTGATTCAGTTATGCCACAGTAAAAACTGAAATGTGTGAATCATGCTTGTGCTGACATTAGTGGATGTAGAATGATTCTGTCTCTGACAAAGATGTCATATCGCAGCTTACTGAAGATCGTAATGTAGCCAGTAGTTTGCCTAATGCTTAGAAAGCATGTTTGGCTAACACAGTGTCATGAGCCCTTATAGTCACTGTCAGTAGTTAAAGCTCTTTGAATCACGATAGGAGCAGCATGTTCTGTAGCCGTGCTGTTTTTTCACATTGTCAGTGTAAGCAACTGCTTTGTTTCAGTTGTTACAATTTGGAGATAGCATACTTCAAGTAAAAGTTGCATTTGCAAGCTTTCTGTAAGTAGCAGAGAAACTGCAGTTATGTGATCAATGACAGCTGATGCTGATAGCCTGGAAAAAAGCATCCAGATGAGCTTTGGGTTTTTAAGGGTGATGGTGGGGAGACTGATCATGTTTGTAACGAGGAGCTAAATGCCATGTTCCACATTGCCTTCCTAGGAAATTGATGAATACATTACTCAGGCTCGTGACAAGAGCTATGAAACCATGATGCGAGTTGGCAAGAGAGGGTTAAACCTTGCTGCCAATGCAGCAGTTACTGCAGCTGCAAAGGTAATGCAACGCCTTCTGTAACATTCAGGAATTCCCCAGCAGTTTAGTTTTGTGTGCCAGCAATTAGTGCTATGGGTCTGTTAGGGATGCTGGTACTTGTTGGTACCAATCTACTTTTCCTTTCCTCCAGTTTGCCTTGCAGTTAATCCCATCCTTTGACTTATGAAAAGTGGAGGGTGAGTGGAATGGATTTTGCTTAACCTCTTCCCTGTTGGTCTCGGGACCATGCTTTTCTTTTTCCCTTCTCTGTTTTTTTCAGAGCACCCTAGTGGGGAATAGGGCACCTTTCCTCTTCTACTGAATGATCCCATGTGAGATGATCTTGGTGAAGGTGAAGTGCTCTTGACCCTAATTTTTATGTCCTCTTAGGGCCAGGGAGTTTTGTCTGAGAAGCTGCGAAGTTTCAGTATGCAGGATCTCACTCTGATCCGAGATGAAGATACTGTGCATATGCAAAGCCATGAGCCACAGCTGCGCCCCTCTGGTGGGAGTCTTCTTGAAACCATTGAGGATTCAGGTACAGAACACCCCTGCTGTGCCATTGTGTGAGGCCTCATACGGTGAGCCAGGAGGGGAGGAGGGGTTCCCTAGACTTTTCATGCGTTGGGTCTCAGAAGGATTACAAGATTCCAAATTATCTGGGAGAAGTTGTGTTGACTTCCCTAGTCCCTTCCCATCTACTAACACATCTCTGTACTTTTTGGATTATCCTTCTTAAGGATTGTTGACATGTCACTTTCATGTGGTCTTTCAGGATGGGCCATTTTAGACTTCATGTGATTTTTCAAAAGTATTTGCTAAAACTTTCTCTCTTATTCCTTAGCTTCCTGTTACTCCTCAGGAGAGGAGAGCAGTGTAGCACAGAGGTCTAATGGAACCCCGTTGGAGACTAGAACAGACCCATCAGATGAAGATGCAGGAGACAAACTTCCTAAACGTAGCCAGAGTCTCAAAACTCCTAAGAAGATAGTGAAAGCTGAGGTGAGCTGGTGTGTGTCCTGGTTATAAATATAAGTAAATTATTTCCAGAACAGACATTGATTTGTGAGCTTTGTTGGAAGGCTCTGACTCCATAGTCTTGGTGCATTTAAAAGCTGTTTATATAAACGTTGTTGGACTAAGTCTTTGCTAGTTGAGTCGTACATCAGAGGACTTGCCGTCTACTTGCTATATTAGTCTCTAGCTTTTGTATTTTTATCATGCCTGTAAGCCTCTGTCATAAGCCAGGACCCAGCTTTGCTTTCTTTCGGGTTTTGTGTTGAAGGGTGGGGCATTAGATATTTTTAACATGTTTTGTTGACTATATCCTCTTTCCTGTCTGTTACAGTCTGAATATATAATACTACTGTGACATTTATCCCTGGGACAGCCACTTTCTCCTCATGTAAAATGCAACGGTTCTGTACCCTCTTAGGCCTTTCTGGACTTCTGCATATTAGATATGGGGAAAATGTAATTTCCCCCTCCATACCACTCCCCACCCCCCCCACTCTCCCTCACCCTGGGGTTTTGTCTTGAAGTTTGGGTAACTAGTCATTGTTGAGCTGTCCCCTGCGTATGACCATGTGATGATCCAAGATATTTACAGCCATTCAGATGGGATATGAGTTGCCTGTATTCTTATAATTAAAACAAACTATACACAAAAATAAATGCAATTGTGTCCAAGAGCCATTTTAGCTTAACAATCTTTTTTTCCAGCTGTTGGTGTGTCTTGTAGAATAGGCTTTTTGAGGTGTTGCTTTCCAGGTTTTGACTCTTACTTGAACATTTCTTGTGGTTTGATGTATATGTGATAAAATGCTTCTCTCTTTTTGTGAAGTTGGGGTCCTATTTGCTTGATTCAACTTGGACTCCTAATTTTATTTTTTATTTTTATTTAAGATAAAGAGTGCTATATGACTGGCTCACATTGTCGAGCTTTTCAAGCTAAATATTAAATAATTTGGAGGACAGTAATTGCTTAGAGCATCATTTTAAGTCGTACTGTTAACCTGATTTTTATGGTGTACAGGACACCTTTGCATGTGATTAAGTACTCTTGGTAACAGAATCACAGAATAGTTGAGGTTGGAGGGGACCTCTGGAGATCATCTGGTCCAACCCCACTGCTCAGGCAATGCCATCTAGAGCAGTTTCCCAGGACCGTGTACAGATGGCTTTTGAGTATCTCCAAGGATGGACATGTATGTATAAAGATGCATTTAAAATCAGCCTGGATCTTTTTTAAATTCCCAAGGCTTACTTCTGAGTTGACCCCTCTGCTTTCTTCTCTAGCATAATAGACAGGAGCAGGGAAATAAGAGGAACAAAATTTGATTCCAGGCTTCCTAGTGAGGAATTTTTAAAGTGAAATTGTGAAAAGACAGTAACGACTCTTCTATGCTGTTTATTGTGAATACAGAAATTCCGATAAAGCCCTTTGCAGGCATATTGGTTTTTATGCTCAGTCTGGATCTTTGGTGTAGATGTAGGAATTGTAGGAGGTCTTTGAGATCTCTGAGATTGCGCAGAAGGGCTGAATGCATCGTAGATCATAAATGTACTCTTCTTGCCAATATCTAGAATGAAAAACACTGGAGTAAAGCGTGCAAACTAGTTCAAGACGTTTCTACATCTTTCAGAGAACAGCATTTGGGATGGCAGTCAAGAAGCAGAAAAGTTATAGCAGTGAAGTGTTATGTGAATGTTATCAGTTAGAAATATTGCTATGTCTAATCTTTTGTCAAGACGGCGGATGTCAATTTTATTATCACACTTGTCCTGTTCTAGAATGTCTTCCTCTCCTGGCTGCTATTTGATGGGTGTGCTCAGAGTTATTTGTTTACTAACCAAAAACAAACGGAATGGTTAGAATCGTAGAATGGTTTGGATTGGAAGGGACCTTTAAAGGTCATCTAGTCCAACCCCGCCTGCAATAAGCAGGGACATCTTCAGGTTGCTCAGAGCCCCGTCCAACCTGACCTTGAATGTTTCCAGGGATGGGGCATCTACCACCTCTCTGGGGAACTTGTTCCAGTGTTTCACCACCCTCAGCGTAAAAAATTTCTTCCTTACATCTAGTCTGAATCTGCCCTCTTTTAGTTTAAAGCCATTACCCCCTGTCCTATTGCAACAGGCCCTACTAAAAAGTCTGTCCCCATCTTTCTTATAAGGGGGCTTTCTTATAAGCCCCCTTTAAATACTGAAAGGCTGCAGTAAGGTCTCCCCAGAGCCCAGGATGTGGGAGCTCACATTGCCGGCTCATGTCCAGCTTTTCATCCACCAGTACCCCCAAGTCCTTCTCCACAGGACTGCTCTCAATCCCTTCGTCCCCCCAGCCTGTATTGATACTGCAGTTGCCCTGACCCAGGTGCAGGACCATGCACTTGGCCTTGTTGAACCTCACAAGTTTCACACGAGCCTGCTTCTCGAGCTTATATAGCTTCTCGAGTTAAATAGCCTTTTTGAAACAACAGATGACATGAATAGGGTCATCGTGTTGTAGTTGTTTTGTCCTATTTTCACTCTGCGTTCTTGTATCTTTTTCTGTTAGACATTTAAGTGTTAAACTAACCAAAGATGCCTCTTTTTCTTTCTCCTCAGCTTCCAGGAAGAAGTGTGAAAGCCCGCCCTAAGAAGAAAGCTGCAGGCTGTCTTGCTTCTGGCGAGTCATCCTAAGGAGACTTCCCCCTCCCCAGCACCTGTCTCTGTCCCAGGATTTGCCTGTCACCTTTGAGGGGAAACTCCCCAAAGGAAGGGAGCTGAGATTCATGTACATAACAGATACTGCTTTGTAGAGCTCATTCCAAGGAAAGGGGGAGGCTGGGTTTCAGAAAATGGAGTAGAGGATACACATCCTTGAGAATTTTCTCCTTTTCATCTCTCTGTTGGAGGGAATGCTGATATGTCTGTACATAGCCTGTTGCTTTGGAATTCCCACTGTATAACCCTAGTTGGGGAGAATCTTTGCTGGAAGAACTGACTAGGGTTAGAGACATCCATTGCACCAGAAGCTGGAAAAATATTAGACACTGGAGTTCCACAGGGGTGGGTGGTTCCCTAAAATGTCTTATCTTGCTCTGGGTATTCTTCTGCAGCTGTGTGTTGTTAAGAAGTGCCCACCATGATTCATCCTCCTTAAGAATGGACCATACCTGTCACGTCCATCCCCTTTGAGAAGGTGACTGAAATGATGTATGCTGAGTGCTTTTGAACATAAAGGACTAGCTCATGGGAGGAGTATGCTAGATTCCCGTTACTAGTACTGGAAGATGAAGAAATTGTTTTTATTTTTTCTGGAAGGTGAAGGGAGATAATTGAAAAACTGAGTAATGAAGAAAATGTGCTGTTATGTGCACACGTGATGCAGTAGATACAGGTATCTGTAAGAGTTAACTATTGAGAAGGAAAGTTGGGCATCTGTAAGATTTTGGCTCTTTTTGAAGCTGCTTGAATTTTATTTCAGGTTTTGTTGTTCACTTTGATTCCTGTGAGGACATCAGAGTGAGGTGAGTCCCATGCAGTGGGAACAGTTGGCAGGGAGACTGTTGCTTTGCCATTTAGTGGTTGAACTCCATGTCATCCTGATGCTTGTTACTATGGACAAATTCTTTCATTCTAGCAGATGACTGGGGAAAATCTGGCTCAATATAGTCTGCAGGCATACTTGAGAATTTCAGAAGCCCTTATCTCTCAGCTTTAGGAGATCCAATCCTCAGGGCATGAGAACCGATAAATAGCTGCTGTATGAATTTCGCTAATTCCAGGTTTCCATTTATGGGGGCTAAAAAGCAGGGAGTAGGGCACAATACTGTGATTAATCAGTCCTCTTGCCTTATCCTACTGCAGCCCTTGCACAACTTTTCTGTCTGACCATGTGCCGTGTTTATCAAATGTCTTGAGACTTGAGCAACTTGGGACAGAACTACATAGAATGTAGAATATGTATCGTGGGAGTGAAATTGCAGTGCTGCAGGGAAAATCTGCATCATGCCAAGCCATACTGGATTGTAATCTGTTGAACATTGTTAAGGGGAGATCCCCTGTACACATGGCAACAGAGTCAATGGGAATTTATGAGATGAGTAGGGTCCTGTTGTTGAGATCTATAGTGGGGCAGCACCATTATAGACATGGTTGTTTGAATGAATACTTGATGGTCTTAATCTTTGCTGAAACTACTTGTCAAAGGAACCTGGCTCCTCCTTCCCTACTGAAGACCATTCTTAGCTCTAGGTGCAGGCATTTGAGTTTGCCCACATCTTTTGCTGTCACATTTCTGAAATGACGGTTGATTCTTCACAGAGCTCAGTATTTTGCTGTTGGCAATGTATAGAAGCAGTTCTGCAAGTAACGTTCCACAAGTATTTCTGTCCTAAAGAACAGCCCTTCAAAAGTTTGTAAAGTTGAAGATTAGGACTGAATTTTTTCTTGTTTCCCATTGTCTTGGTGGCAAATTGTTATTAATTGACTAGTTATTAGAAAAATATAGTTTAGTATTAGGAAGATTGGTTTCCTATTATTAGAAAACCAATTAAGTTGGGTTTACTTTTATTTGTAGCTTTTTAAAATCGAAGTCTTGACAGGCCATGTCAGAAACTTGCATCTTGTCAGAAATACTTGTCCTAAATTATCCATAAGGCCTCATCCAGAAGCCAGTAGAAAAGCCTTGATTTGGCTTTGAGTTTTGAGTTTCACAAAAAAACCCAAGTATTTTGTTCTTTTTAGTTTGTTAGCAAACATTGCATGTACTAGGGAGACACGTATACCAAGGCATGTCCTGAAGCAGGAATTCTTTCTGTTTCCAAAGGAAATTCCTCTCTCCATACGAGGGATAAAAATCTTTACTGATTATGTGGAAGATTCAGTTATGAGGAATTGCTGTCCTAGATTTTACTGTACTGAGCAAGATAGAACCATTATTCTTTGTATACCAAGTATCTCTACGACCACATTTCTTGAAAAAAAATTTTTTTAACTAAAAATTTCCATAGCAAATTATTCATGTAAACCATTGTGAGGGACTTGATTTGGAAGCCAAGGATTGGTTAGTCTCCCCTTATGCTGATCTTCATGCCCTTTCCTTGTGCATGCGTTGTGATAGTCTTGGATTACTCGGTTTTCATATGGTGACTTTCCAGAATGTTTTCTAGAGTCAGTTCATTTGTAGTAACTCTTCCTGCTTTGAAGCACAGTAAGAATTGCTGAAGACTCAGTTTTGGTATTTGGATTTACCTTTGTCTTCCTGAGCTAGGTCCTGTGTTCAGTATCTTTTACTTAACATTGATGCTTGATGTCATCAGCCTGTGGGTAAATACGCGTCAGTCTTACTCTGACTGTTGTTGTACAGGGAAATTAAATTACTTCTGGTTGTAAGAGAGAGTCTGGAGTAGAGTCAGGGACTGTTACCTGGTGTATGATACAAAGCTGATGATGTCAAGCAGCAGAACTTACCCAGAGCAAGAACCATGTCTTAGCATGGACACTATTTTCTTCTTCCAGTACAAATGCGACTGCTAGATTGTGCTCTGCTTGATCGAAGCCTCTGCAGATCTGCCACCACCCACATGACCTCTTAGTGAGTTTCTAGATGTAGTTCTGCATTGGATGGCGTGGTCTTGCATAGAAATTCTCTTGTTAATGAGAACGCTGAATGTGCTGTTTTGATAAAATGCTTTTATCAGCTGTTGTTCAGTGT